CATCTGGTGCTGGTCCTGTGTGCTCAGGTTCAGATTCAAAGGATGCTCCTATACATCTGAAAATTTGCAAATGAGCCTATTTTATATATCTGAATTATAGATCTGAATATATCTGAAATTATAGAAAATTATGTAAAATACACCAGAAAATATTTAAATCCTAACTAGGTGTCTATTTGATTGGAGTTTGCTTATTTAGTACTTTATATTAGTACTCAGTAATCCTGAAGGACACTCATTTTTCTCCATCTGAATGAAAAACCTGATGTTATTATCAACTTGTTTAAGTGGATGGTGTTTTAATTTATGACTTTCCTTGTGTGTTGTATTAGTGTGGGTTATAGTAACAAAGCCAGGATACATTTTCTCATACTTTTCAGGCTCATCAGCAGTGCAGCGGAAATCTAATTATAGGTTTGCTGTGATGATTTCTGTTCTGAAGGGAGTTTAAAATGAGTGACGTGAACAGAACTATGTAAGTCTAGTGTGAAGAAAGTAAACTAAGGAAATAATGATTACTATGTTGATATGTAGATTGTGATCTGACGTTAAAGTGCTATTTAACACAAAAACTTAGTCCAAAAAGCATTACTGCTCACTCTGAGAAATACTTGCAATGTATTTTGGTCTCCTTGGCAAGGTTACTACTGCACACTCCTTTGGCTGGGTGTGCTGTCTGTGGTCCCAGTGCTAGCTAGTTTAAGCCCTGCCTGAGCTGTGAAGCTCTTGTACAGCTGTAGTGGCAGTTTGATAACTAGGCAGGTTGGCTACCTGATGGTCCTTCATCCTCAGGTTAGGTGCTCCTCAGGTGTGATGCAGCTGGGGAAGTAACTCTGCAAGTCAGCCAAGAATGAACTGCTGGAAGAGGAGGTACTGTTCGGTATCCAGTTGGCTGAAGCATCCAGTAAGTCAGAGCTTGCCAGGATGGACCTTCCCTTTGTCTAGAAAACCCTTTTGGATGTAGAGATCACACCTGATTTTGGTGACAGAGAACTTGTGCCACTTCAAAATACTGTCTGTGCTACTTGCTTGCCAAAGGGGAAGAAACAGGGTTCTGAATTCAACTTCCAGGTGAATTCCATAGCCACCAAAAAATGAGTATATACAGAGTTGTTCTCTGCTTTTCTTCCATGTGAGGTGCATCCAGCTCAGGTGTACAGACAGCAGATGAGGAATCCCACTTATGAACTTGCACTTGAATGAAAATCTTGGCATGTTTATTATTTCTTTAATACCATCTGAGCAGAGGAAGCTTATGCATCCCAGGTAGCAGAAATTTAGTATAGGCATTGCCAAGTATTTTGGGGATCCAGTGGCAGCTTCAGCCATTTGAGCATGTCAGTGGTTATGGATGCACAGCCCTCAGGATATACTGTGGACTCTTCACATATTTATCAGTAAATCCCCAAATTCAAGAGTATTGTTTAATAAGTGTATGTTTTAAGTAATACGCTTAAGTTTCCTCTAAGTTGTCACACATGATTTTTCCTGAAAATCTCAGTCCTTTCAACTCAGGTGCTTTTCAGTGTTTGTACGTCAATCATTTTAGCTGTGGCAGTTATGACTAATCATCTCAAATTGATGCCAAGCTATTCCAGTATGCATTCATTGAAAAACATTTGAATATTTTCTTCATGATAAAGTTCTTGGATCTATCAGTTCAATCTGCCAGGGCAGAATGAAATCTTCAGGGAGTTCAGAGCTGGGAAGTGACCTCAGCCAGCTGAGTTTCAGCTTTGATTTTCTGCTCCTTTAAAGCCTATTGATTCAACCAGCTCTCCCACCTTCAAAATGTCTACAAGAAAAATCCCTCCAGGCACTTTGAGTGGATAACTGATAGGTCTGCTTATTAATTGTGTGTTTGTTTCCTAGCTGGGCTTCAGGACCACCTTTAATATTGGGGAACTGCCTCTCAGCTCTGTTATCTGACTGAATTCTTTTCCCTTTCCGTCTGCCTTCACCAACAAAGCTAGGAGTGGAAAAGCTGTTGCAGATGTTAGGCACAGCACTCAGCAAAAATATCACTGAATGAAAGAGAACAACCTTTGTGCACAGCACCTTTCCTCTGCTCCCTCCTTTCTGACAGCACTGTTGCGTTTTAATTATCTTTGTTCTAGTCTCAGGCTGATGAATCCTTCCAGGAAATCAGTTTTGGTGTACAAGGCTAACATGCTTTTTGAGAAGCCTATGATTGAGAAGCCCTTTTATAAGGGCTGTATGGTGCATTCAGATTAATCAGCCAACAGTCTCTGAATATTTCATGGAAAAACCTTTATAGAGACTTGATGCTCTTCAGAACCACCAGGAAGGTCAATTTATGCTCCTGGTTACTGCTAGATATGCCATAAAAGAACCCTAAGAATCAACCAGGTTGGAAAAGACCTCAAAGATCATTGAGTCCAACCCTACTGTGGTTACTAGACCATGGCACTAAGCACCACATCCAGTCTCATCTTGGAAACCTCCAGGGATGGTCACACAGTCTGTAGCACATGTGAAGGAGCCATTCTGTTTAATTCCTGAATTCAACATGTAGACCAACATGAATGGAATTTCCCATTATCTGCATCTGACAGAAGTATCCCAGTCTGCTCCTCACACTTTTCCTGATCTCCAAATGAAACACCAAAGTTTCTAAAGCAGGTGTGTTAGGGAGTTGATTGTGTCTTTAGATGCTCAGTTCTATCCCCTGATTCTCCCAATCTGTTTTATCTGCCTTTTCCCATTCTGTTTTAAAGTTTATAAATTCAGACAGTTTTTTTCCTTCTTATTTAGTGAAAGATTTTTAAAATGTTTTCTACTCTTCCTCTAAGTCTGTTGTCTGCAAGAGGAGCGAGCATAAATTTCGTGGTGCCTTTTGCACTCTTCTTTTGATCTTACACATTCATACAGTATCTCGAGGCTGCAAAGGCTTCTTCAAGCTGCACTTTATCATATTTTGTTTGCTTTTGCAGATTGTTTGTAAGAGTTCATCATAACTGTTTATAGCAGTCCCTAAACTCTCTATTAAATAAAACTTCAGCAAGTGGCTGCCCTAGTTTCAAGGTTACCTCTTAGTGGGAAGTCTAAAGCCTTTTTAGACTTTCTTTCTCAGTTTTGATACTGTTTTCTGCTGATCATTACATCTTTATTACCCAAGATTAAAACATATGTTTAAAATTATATTATTCTTTATAATGTTTAAAGCCATATTAATCCAACTGTCATTTCCACACTTGGTATTTCATACCAAATAAATAAAACTTTTTTTTTTTGAGATTGCATGTTTGACATTTGCATTCCCTAAAACAGCCATTTCTGGAAAATGGGAATGATACCCAAAAAAAACCATTTTATTCCAGCATGCACAAACAAATCTATGCCAACCTTGAGTCCCAGATCTGACTGTTTTGTTTCACAACTTCTGATTTTATAATGGATTTATTTTATTACCTTTCATTCTGGTTTTGCCTTCTTTTGACCCCTGTGTCATGCAGTTCTCTGGCTGGGCTTGTTTTATTTTTCCATACTTCTATGCTCTCCAGGTATTCGTTTCTTTGTTGATTCAGTTCTTATATTTTAGGAATAACGAACTGAACACTTCGAATAAGAGTTCAGCTAAAGTCAGGTTCTCATTCTGAGCTGTTGCAGTGATTGGTCTCTTGTCCCCTGATCTTCACATCCCACTAGAGCATCCCCATTGTCATGGTACACACTCCTGCATATGTCCTCAGTGCATTAATTTCGTCCTAAAAATAAGGGTTTGTTGGGGGTTTTTTACAGACATATACATTGCATACATTGGAACTGTGGCTTGTCTTCTCATCTGGACAGTTCTCATTTATAGTTCTTGGTTGATTTGAGCATCAGGAACGTTAAATAGTAACTTAGATTCTTCATATTCTTTGACTGTTCTCCCTTAGGAGTAGGAGGCTCAGAACACTGACTCTGTATAGATTTGCATTAATGGAAGTCTATATAATTTCAGTGGGTTTTTTCCCCTGTTAGTAAATGCATTTACATTTTATTTCACGTTTGCTTTTTAAGATCAGTCTATGCCCCCTAAGGGGTGAACTAGCATTTTCTAATTTTTACAAGCCTCTCCTCACATTGATATTGTCTGTAAACACTTGAATCCTCGAGGACCAAAGAATGGCACTCAGTGTCAGTAAGCAAATCACGTTTATTGCCTCCTAAGTGTTTACACAATGACAAAAATCAAGCCCCCAGGGAGCCATATTGTAAAAAGAAACAGTTGGTTTAAATTAGGTTTCCATGTGAAATATAGCTCTTTTTTATGGATGTTGTGGGAACATAAACTGGAAAGAAAATCTCCACACGGATAAAATGAAAGTTTGATTTTTATTTGTTTAAATAAAAACAGAATCATGTTCTAAGCAGATTTCTGATTCTGACATTAATTAATCAACAAAGAGAAGCTGGTAGTATGGTCACGCTTAGAAGGTTGGTTGTTTTTTTTTTTGTTTACTTCATTTGTCATCTTGCAAATTGATAATGTGAATTATCTTAAATGTCCATTGCATGTAGGAATTAGCAAATTTGTACATTAAATATATCTACCAGTTTTTTGAAATTTACCAAGACATTCTAATTTATCAACTTCACCCGCCATGTTATAAGGGCAAGGGTTAATCAGTCTGAGGCTGAGATTTGCAAGCCATGTCAATGAGAATTTACACTGCAGATCTCTCTGACAGTACTAGATAAGCTGTCCATTTCCTTCTGTGGCCTCAATGCATGTTCAGAATGTCTTATATCAAATGTAATGTAAGTTATTCTAGAGTAGTCAATGATATAGCTGTTGCTATGTGAATATGTCTTTGTGTAAGTTGAGTTTGCAATTCATATGTAATTTGGCCATGAGTGTGGCCATGTGGAATTTTGACTGATACCCTTCTGGTGGAAGAAAACCAAAAAACTCCACGTTATCTGTTGAGTCTGCATGAATGCTGCAAGAGACATTGCTTTGGCTGACTGTACTTCCCTTTTTATTTTACAAGGTGAGCTCGTGGGTTACCTGGCTGATCCTGACTGCAGGTTCCATGGAAGAGAAACGAGAAGTCTTCTCCTATTTAGTACATGTGGCAAAATGCTGCTGGAATATGGGCAACTACAATGCTGTAATGGAATTTCTGGCAGGGCTAAGGTACTGGCAACTCTGGGTTTTTAATGGCTTTTCAGTGATAGATTACGCTGCAGCTTCTGTTAAGCAGATGTCTCTGGAGAACAAGGAACTAAACAGAAATCCGTGTCTAAATCACATCATCTCACCCTGTGACTTTCTGGTAATCCATTTGGAAAAATGAAGCATGCTAAATCCTTTTTTTTCCTCAAAATGCTCTGGAGACTCCATCAGTTTTCCTGATACACAGTGAATATGTTCATTAGAAAATATACTTGGGTTGGTTTTTATAACAGAATTTTTTTTACATGTGAAAAGAAGATGGGAAAGCAATTGTGGTTTATCTAGTGAGCTACCACTAATGTAACTTGGGGTTGGAGTCTCCAGAATACAAGTGAAACATAATCATGGTGGCATTCTAGAAGGATCAGTCTTAAATATAAAGAATCCTCACCCCAAAATGACCAAAAAAACTCAACAAAACAAAACAGCTAAATCTATTTTAATCCCTGCAATTTACTTGTACAGACTGGTGTTGGGATCCTGTGCTGTCATGGTCTGCAATATCTGCAAGAGAAAGAGAGAGAGTGGAGGTTAAAGACAGTTCATTGCTTGCTTTGCTGTGGAATTGCAGGCTCACCATGCAGGGCTGGGTGAGCAGGGAAGCAGGGCCTTTGCACTGGCAGCTCAGAGGGCAGCAAATGGGACTGAACGGGGATGAGTGAAGATCAGATTTCCCATCTTTCAGCTCTGACCCTCCTTTTGTATTGTGTTTGTGTAGCAGAGCTTTACAGTGTTTGCATTGCAGTTCTTTGTGGTGTAGTAAGGATTCTTATTGAGCTATTTGTTTATGTTTTTGGTGTATAAAACCCATTTGAAATGCTCATAGGCATGGGGAGTATATTTTAGCAGAATACATCCACAATCTCCAAGCCATGTAAGTTATGAATGAAAATGAAAAGCCAATTAATGGCTTAATTTTATGTCTAGTACATCTGCACAGCACAAGGGAAAGAAAGGAGAGGAAGGCCAGTGCTGATTAGCAGCATTTCCAGGACAGGGGGAAAAAATGGGGTTAAGGGCAGTCTACTGTGAGTGTTTCAACAGACCTCTTGGTATGTCTGAGGCCAGAAAGGTCATGTAATGGCATAGACACACAGCTCAGAAGGTGAGAGTTCTCCCAGAGGTACCCTCAGGCCTTGAAGCTATTTCTGTTTGAAATCAGAGTTTCTTTTCAGCTGCAGCTCTGCACTGGTGCCTGAGAGCTGGAACATGGTCCTGACTTCCTTGTTTCTGTGAAGATAATGAAGTTATTTCATGGGGAAAAAAAATCAATATAAATTTTCATAAATAAATTTAATTTTTAAAAACCGAACCTTTGCTAACTTTATAGACTATTCAAAATACGGCTAAAGGAATTTGTAAGAAGCACTCTGATTTATGTTTATGCCATTTCCTTAATCTTTTCTTATTTCTTTCCAGGCCTTTAGAAATTTTAAGCAATGACACAATAAAAAGGTTAGAAGGCCTCTTAGTATGTCTTGTGCAGCTGGGCTTTTATTGATATGTCAGACGTTACTCCAGTAGATCAGATTGCTTGTTTCTCATTTTTGGTTTTGTCCTTTTTTAATTCAAAGGGAGGAATTTTCATAAAAATCATTACTTTGGTTTCATTCATTCATTTCTGTGCAATGATAATTTCCTCTTTTACCTATATGCTGCAGGTGTTGAACTTGAAGGGAAATGGTTTTAAGGTTTTTAAATAAATGTTGTGATCTCTTTTTGCAATAGGTCAAGAAAAGTTTTAAAAATGTGGCAATTTATGGACCAGTCTGATATTGAGACCATGCGAAGTCTGAAAGATGCTATGGCACAACATGAGTCTTCATCTGAATACAGGAAGGTGGTCAACCGAGCACTCAATATTCCAGGCTGCAAAGTTGTTCCTTTCTGTGGTGTGTTTTTAAAAGAGCTTTGTGAGGTTTTGGATGGAGCATCAAGCCTCATCAGACTCTGTCCGCGATATAATTCCCAGGATGAAACATTAGAGGTAAATGAGATGAATATTCAAAAAGGTTATCATAGAATCATAGAATTTTAGGGATTGGAATAGACCATACAGATCATCTAGTCCCAACCCCCTGCCCTGGGCAGGGACACCTCCCCACCTGACCAGGTTGCTCAAGGGTTCATCCAACCTGGCTTTGAACACTGCCAGGGTTGGGGCAGCCACAGCCTCCCTGGGCAACCTGTGCCAGTGTCTCACCACCCTCACAGGAAATATCTTTTTCCTAATATCTAGACTAAATTTCCTCTCTTTCAATTTATACCCATTATTCCTTGTTCTATCACTGCAACTCCTAACCAAGAGTCCCTCTCCAACTCCCTTGTAGGCTCCTTCAGATACTGATAGGCTACTATGAGGTCTACACAACCTTCTTTTCTCCAGGCTGAACAGCCCCAACTTCCTTAGCCTCATAGGGGACATGCTCCAATACTCTTATCAGCTTTGTGGCCTCCTCTGGACTTGCTCCAATATGTTATGTTCACAGCCATCCAGTTCTTTATTTCATGTAATTTTACACAAAGGCATCATCTAATTAAAACTTTATAAATCAGGCTGTTACTAGACTGTTCAATTACATTTGCCTCAATCTCCCATAGTTACTTAGGAATTTTGATTTGTTGTTTATACCTAGTTCAATATCAGAGTACTGAGAAATTAGTATAAATAGCAAAGGATTATGTTATACTGTGAGTAAAGTAAGTATGTAAAGCCTTAAAGATGTAACGGTTTTGTGTTAAATGCTCTGAGCTTTGACTTAACTCATTGGGAACTGGAAGGTTTTCTGTTCCTTTAAAATGGAATTTAGAAACTCAGATGGATCAAGCTTCTCCTCTATGGAAAGAAACAGTTCCTTCGAGTTTTACCATTTTGGTTTTACAAGAAAAATGCCCCTATTAGATTAACAGATTAAGACTGAGGCTTTTTTAAAGTTTTCAGGAGTTACTGTAACTTATGTTACTTGATTTATGATGTGATTTGGTCTTTTTTGGATTGCAACTAGGCATGAAATCCCATTGGAAGCTAATGGGAAATACGTGCTAAATAGTCTTAATTCTTGTAAAAATGTCTGCAGTGAGAAGTAGATGACACAAGAGTCTATTTATAACTATACTAATCTTTTAGCTATCTCTAGTTTGTTTCAGATTACAGTGGACAAGATAATTTCTTGCAACGAGTAGGTCAAGATGGTTTAAATAATCCAGAAAAAGAATCAACAACAAACAATATCTTTCAAACTATTCGGAGCTGCAATCGGAGTTTGGAATCTGAGGAGGGTGAAGATAACGTTAGTGAAGGCAGTGGTTCAAGAAAGAACTCACTGAAGGATAAAACCCGGTACCAGTAGGTCTCATTTTATTTTCTATCAACATAAGTATATTTCATGGCTTTAATTTAATTTCTTTTACCACGCTTGCTTTTAGAAATAAAGGCAACGTTACCATCTTCCCTTGTATTTATCCTCTTCCAATTCAGAATTTTTCTCCCCTGCAGCTACTCTCTGTATAGTTATATTTTCCCACATGACGTAATTGCTTCCTCTCATGATAAGGGTAAATCCTTTTCGTCTTACACACAGAGCTTTAAAAATCCACAGTTACAATTACAATTTTGATCTCTAGGGACAGGAATAGCACCAGAACATATTTGTTATCAGAGCTCAGAACATTATATTCTGCATGCTCAGGCAGAGTTTTACCTCCTTCAAAATAAAGGTTATTTATTAGCCTTCAAAATGTCTCTTCATTAAAGGACATGTGAGTTTGAAATGCTTAAATTTTGTCCAGAAAATATTCATAAGTGAGGACATATTCTAAATATTCAGGTTGCTGTAATCTTGCTGTTTTGTAAAGAAGTTTACTTCATTGTGCCCCATGTAAAAAAGCCTCAGAAATCTCAGATTTCACTTTGAAGACCTGATATATTCTGTACTATTCACCAGCAAGAAATAGGGTAAACGAAAAGTGTAAGGCAGCACTTGATCTTTTAGGACGTTGCTTTGCAGTGGAGTCTCAGCCCATGTAGACATAGGTAGGTCAACTTCAAGCCAAATATCTGTGTTAGACTCTTCAAACTAAGTAACAGACCTCCACTGTTTCGAGGTGGAGCACTGTGAAATTATATGAGGGCCTGCATAAAAGAACATGCTCAAGTCATTGCTTGAGTTATTTTATTGATAATGTGTGTCAGAAATATCAATATGTTCAGAACTATCCAACGTATTTCAGCTACTTAAACATAAAATCTAATAAGTGACTGCCTAAGAAGCAACTATCATCTTCCTGTTTAAAATGCACTTATTTCATTAACATGTAATTCTAAATTTGATTTCAAATAAATAATCATTATTTCCTGAAAGAATGGTTTCTAATAGAATTATTCACATCTGGCTTTAGTTGCTTCTGGGAAGTGGAGCAGTAGATTAAGCCAAGACAGACAGACCCACTTCTCTGTCCATTTGTATTATCTCTTGACTTTCAAATACTTTCTTCCAGGAATTATTTTTTGTTAATTAATATGCTTTAAAATCAACTTGCAACTCACAGTTCAAAGAGGGGAATAAGCTAGGCAAATCAACATTTCACTTGAATGAACAAAGGAGAAATTAAATATAAAAGAACAGCATGGAGCAAATGAAGGTTTTGGGGCCTTTTTATGTGTTTCTGAAATAATTTCTTGGTAAATTAGTTATTTATGCTAGTAAGTTTCACTCTAATTGAAGTAGGAATTCAATACCAAAAGGAAAATAAAAAATAAAAAAAGCACCAATATGAATCTGAAATGAATGTTTAAATGAACAAAACTGCAGATAAGTAATTAAAGTTATGTTTCCTATTTTAGACTACTAACTACTCATTTATTAGTATCTATATTTCTGATGCAGTAAGTGCTGATGTTAATAGTATAAGGACTTGTAGGAGAATATTCCTGAAAGTACTGATGTAGCTCAAGTTCCTCAGACTTCGGGAATTACTTACTCATTTGCCATCTCTTTCCTGGGCATGCAGAGAGCTGCAGAGGCAGAAGGGTCATCATGTTGTCCTTCTTGTATGGAGGTTGCAATGTTTGGTTTATGTTTAATGCTATGAACAGCTGCAGAGTTCTAAGGAAGGAATTTGGTCCTCTTTCTCGTGAGACCTGTCATATTTGCATACAGTGTTACAAAACCCAAATTATATCATAATTACATATTACCTGATAATTGCAGTGTTGTGGTCATAAAGGCAGAAAAACACACTATGTAACATGTTTCTCATTACTTTATAATTGCAAGAAAGATTTTCAATTAGTCTTTTTTTTGATGATTTGGATTAGTGTTGTGGAACATGAATGCACCAAAGCTCGTAGGTTAATTTGATTTGAAGAAGATGAAAGGCATCTAATAGAATCAGAGGGCAGTGAGCATAATTACTTTCCCAGTTGCATTAGCAAATAAGCTCTATCACTCTGTAATCAGTGACCCATCTAATCACCCTGAATTTCTGTACATGCCAGATAAATATTAAACATTAATCTTTATTAGAACTCGTTCTTGACAGTTCCCAAATAAAGGTAAGAAGGAAAATCCAAAAAACATAATGAAGTTTGAAATACAGTTTTTATGGAATTATTGATCAAGTGACCTATTAAGATACTCTAAACTTTGATGCATCACTTTATCAGCCTGATCTCGTCTTCACTTTTAAGCTTTTCTACTCACAGTAAATAATTTATAAAGAAAATAGGGGCATACCTCAATATTTTTCTTTTTATATACCTTGCAATTTTCTCCTCTAAAACTGCAATCTGTGTTAATGTTTCCTTTATCCTTTCTTTTTATTTCCTTGCTTCTCAGTGGAGCACACATAAAGAAAGCCTGTGTTTCAAACCGAGTTCTGTAAGTGTGTTCTCAGTAATTCATAGCTGTGTCGTTTTTGGCAGCTCATGGCAGAGGTTCCACTCCTGTGTATGGTTCCATGTGTGTGCTTGGCTTACCTGCTTCTTGTACATTTTAATCTGCAGCATGCAACATGTTATCAAATGTGATAAGAGGTCTAAACAAAGCTCTGTCATTTCTGTCTCCACTACACTAGACTCATCCACCTATGCACATCTAGTCTCAGAATACATTTTCCAGCATTTTTACAGGGACTTGTTTGATTTCTTTTTGTGGTCGTGGGCAAGAAAAAGCAGCTTGAGTTGTTTGTTTAATTTTAGAATGTCAGTCTTGTATAATACAGGTAAATATTTCCTTGTACATGTGTCTGGGAAGGCTCTAGTAGGACAATTTATATCAGCTCAGTTATAATGCATGACCTTTATTTTTAGGAATATTTCTTGAAGAAATAGAGCTAAAGTTAAGACTGATACAGTTATTCTATCAGTCCCTTCATCACAAGCAATAAATCCTCAGCATATTGGCCACTTTCCTGGAAATTTGGCAGAGAAGTAGAGATTAATACTGATTAATACTAATACAGATTAATAAACCAATAGAGGTATCATTAGTTGCAATTTATGAAATAAGGGGAAAATTCAAATTACTTTGTGGCCCAGGTAGGAGAAGAGTTTGAGGAAAAGCTAATGGTCATCTGTGCTGTTCAGTGTTGGGAAATATTTGTATGTGACTTGAAATAAGTCACAACATGAATCCTCCTTTGCTCAGTTGATGGGACAGTCAGGAACTGAGAGTACGGTGGCAGTATGAAGGGGAAGCACAGAGGGCACTGGGACAAGATGTCTTGAAGGATATGTAGAGGAAGATGGCTTGGATTTTATGGGCTGGATATCCTTAGGAAAAATGTGCTGCTTAGTTCTGCTGTACACAGAACAGTTTGCTTTTTTTTGTGTCCACTGAAGCAGTATCAAAATATTGAACTTTTGTGCATTCATACATGTTAGAAGCTTCTGCAGGGAAGGCATTTGATTTAAACTACCCCTTTGATTAGTTCAGTACTGTTGCTCTGTATCTCCTGTTTCTAATTATGGCAAGCTATTTCAAAAATTTGGACTGCTGCAGACAAATTCTATGTTAATATTTTCTTTAAGTAAAATTAAATTGTCTGATGTAAAGTATCTGATAAAATTCTTGCTGCATTCTTATGAGGAAGGTATGTATTTTAACCACTATTTTACCAGTGTATTATATAATGTGAAAGGTCTGTACATTAAATCAGTAATAGAATAGATATTAGAGGCCCTGTCTTCAATCCACTAGATCTTGCTAACAGTTTCCACATGGTATTTGGTATTTCAACTGAAGTAATCTTATGCTGTGGATTTAAAAACTGAAATCACTTGTCTTTAAGAACCACTCAGACATTTTTAATCGTTAATGCAAAGTTTGGAAAGTTCTAAGATATAATTATATTGTTACAGGAGTTATAATTAATTCTAACAGCATCTGTTAATTAATTCAGAATTGCAATAACATAAATTGTAATACTGTAAAAACTACAGAAGTTCCTGTGAGTCCCAACTGTATAGTGATGATAGTATTCTATTTATTTAAACTACAGCAGAAAAAATATTCATCAATCACAGCATAAATCAGCACCTGTATCACTAAATATTAATCTTTCATCTCTATGCAGATTTATAATTGGAGATCTTTCAGATTCTGAAAATGACATATTTGAGCAGTTGAAGGAATGGGACACAAACTCAACAGAAGAGCAGCAAAAGGCTTTCTGCCATGGGATAGAACTCATTCCCTGGTATGTGTTATCTATCAGGGCTGATGTCCATCAGTTCATGCAACAAGGGGCGACTGTCATTCATTACGACCAGGAGACACATCTCTCAGCACGTTGCTTTCTTCAGCTTCAGCCTGACAACAGTACTTTGACTTGGACTAAACCCACAACAGTTTGTCCTGCAAATGCTAAGGCCAAACTGAGTGTGCTGGGTAATACTGCTGAGCTTGGTAAATACCAGTTTCTTGGTAATACTGGACTGGTGGAAGGTTTCTTGGACTTGTTTTCGGCCAAGGCTGTATATATGGGACACTCGGGCATTGATATGCACACTGTGTGTGTTCAAAATAAACTGTGTAATATGTCCCTTGAAGAAAATGGTATAACACTACTTTATGGACTTCAGACTACTGAAAATAAGTTGCTGCACTTTGTTGCTCCGAAATATACTGCCAGAATGCTATATGATGGATTGCTGGAATTGACTAAAGCCGTTAGAAAAATGAGGAGATTCCCTGATCAAAGACTGCAGTGGCTACGGAAACAGTATGTCAGCCTTTACCAGGTAAAAGATGCTGTGATCCTGTATAAGAAAACTTCAAAGATATCCACAACTTAATGTAATGTAATTAGTTTCTATTATAAGTAAGATTAGATTAAAGATTAGCACCAAATCGCCAACTTTGTAACATGGTTTAAGTCAGTAAGATTCTCCACACAATGTTATGTTCGCTGTTTTGGAATAAGTATTTTATTAAATAAAAAGCAATGACAGTACTTGAAAAGGGTCCTGAAATACTGATAAGAGTTAGGGCCAAAAAAAAACCCCCAAAACAGCAAACAACATAGCCCTTTGGTACCCACACAGTAATTAACAACTGCCTCCTCCTGATGTTTTGTCTTTCATGGGTTCCTCAGAGAGATCTTTATTACTGCTTAAGAAAATGTGTCTGTTCTTATTCTCCTTGTTTTGTTGATGCTGGGAAATTCTCTAGGAGGATGGAAGGTTTGAAGGCCCAACCTTGGCTCAGGCTGTTGAACTGTTCGGAGGCAGGCGGTGGAGTGCAAGAAACACAAGCACGGGAACTCTCACCAAAAGCACTGAGAAACCCAATGTACAGAGGAACAACACACTGGGAATAAGCACAGCAAAGAAAAAGAAGAAAGTACTCATGAGGGTAGAATATTTTGTTATTTGTGTATTTTGTTGCTTATCTGGCTGATTTGTTTCCTTCTTGCAGTTGCTGTGTAGCTAACTGTGCTCTGAACCAGAGAAAAGAATATAAATGATAATTTTAAAAATGTTTATTGCAGTTTCAAGTTGGAGGGTTAATTGTTTTCCAGTAGTTTGGGATTCTTTTCTTGTCCTTGAAGCATTCTTTGGACATGTAGGTGCTGTGGCTACCAGAAGGGGACAGAACCTTATTGAGACCTTTAGGTGCTAACTCTGTATAAAGGTAAAATCCCAGAATGTTAAGGGGTTGGGTTGGACCTTAGAGATCATCTAGTCCCAACCCACCTCCCACCAGAACAGGTTCTCAAGGCTTCATCCAACCTGGCTTTGAACACTGCCAGGGTTGGGACATATACAGCCTCCCTGGGCAACCCGTGCCAGTGTCTCACCACCCTCACTGCAAAATACTTCTTCCTACTGTCTAATCTGAATTTCCCCTCTTTCAACTTATTCTCATTCCTCCTTGTCCTATCACTGCAGTTCCTAACAGAGTCCCTCTCTGGCTTCCCTATAGTCCGTTCAGATACTGGAAAGTTGCTATGAGGTCTCCACACAACCTTCTCTTCTCCAGGCTGAACAGCTCCAACTTCCTCAGCCTGTCTTCATAGGGGAGATGCTCCAGTCCTTTTATCAACCTCTGGCCTCCTCTGGACTTGGTCCAACAGTTCCATGTCCTTTTTTTGTTGGGGACACCAGAACTGTGTGCAGTACTCCTGGTGGGGTCTCAGAGTAGGGGAAGAGAATCACACTCCTTTTGATGCAACCCAGGATTCAGTTGGCTTTCTGGGCTGTTAGGGCACACTGCGGTTCGTGTTGAGTTTTTCATCAACCATCACCCCCAAGTCCTTCTCCACAGGGCTGCTCACAATCACATAAATTTGGTGGCAATGATAAAAATATTAAAAAAATCACAGTACATTTTTAATAATTAATATATTAACATGCAAAGTGATGTTTGGGGGCTGGCATCACTTTTTTTAATCCTTTTTGTTTTCATGTTTCCAAAAGCATTACCAGTTATTCCACCTCAAATTAGTATGCAGTTTTATCTCATGTGGGTGGCAGAAACATGACCTAGTCTGAGTGTTCTTCCTTTCCTGGACTCAGCCACCTTCAGCAATAGGCAGGAGAGAGCTGCAGAGACTAGCAGCTCTACACTGCCCACATGTTCTAGTGGGCAGGTAGGGGAGATCCTCAAATGACAAGATCCATCCTCTTTAGGGCTGTGAAATAGTGTATACACTATTGTGCACCAGTAAATAGCTGCAACATTTGAGAGAGGCACAATCATTGTCATCTTCTGTGTGATGTCAACCTGAGGTAACACCTAGTGGTCCCACACTTCTCTGTGTATCCTGTTCAGGTTGTCTCTTTTCTACTGGTATTGGCCTCACAGGTGTCTGTTTCATAAGCAATAGCTGATTTCTCTCATGGTTTTGGCACAGGTTGCACTGATACGGAATGGACATAGTAGTATTTTGGAGACGTTTATTATGGTGCTCATTATTTCTAGGGTGAAAGTGGAGAGGCCACTGATGATGAAATGGCAACTAGGAAGGCAAAAAGCTGTAAGGAATATCGTAATAGAAGTGGTTCAGATCCTCAAGACATTGATGAACAAGAAGAAGCAGGTAGATATATTGCTTCAATACTTAAAAGGCCATCAGGGTTTTGCTCAAAGTCTTGTTATATAGACTTTCTCGTGGTGTTAAAAATCAATCGATGATATTAACCTGCTTTTAGAGTTGAAACTCCAAATGCTATAAACTTTTAAATAAATTTCTGTAGTTGTCAATGATTGTTCTTTCATTTAGTTTCAGTTGCACTCCCTTTCCATGCAGATGAAATGGGTATGTAAGTGTTGTTCAGCATGTACTTTTTTTGACTGTTTTGGTAGAAATTTAGAATCCTTTTAGTTTCTTCCTATATCTTAATGAATTATGTTGTAGAACTCTTGGACAAAAGCAATTTTATTGAGCAAGATGTTGTCATTGTTATGAAAACTTTTGTTTTCTCCACAGATCAAAATATTATTCTTAATGCTTCTCCATCTAACAACCTGCCATCAAGAAGAGCTCACTCTCTGACAGCATCTGGATCTCCAAACTTAGGAGCTACATCATCTTCACCAGCAAGACCAGTTTCCTCTCCTGTAATATCTTCAAGCAAGAGTCAGTCTAGGTGAGGACAAAATCAATGCTTTGATTAAAAAAGAAAATAAAGCTACTGTTACTTCTTTATCCTCAAATGTGGTTTTTTTTGTGACAAACTAGCAAAATCTGGCAAAAACAATGCCCAAAATGTCATTACCCTTTTTGTAGACATATAAAACCCTCGCAGCACAGCATAGGACATTGAAGCTGAAATACCATGAGTCTGAGGATGGTTTTGTAGCAAGTCTCTGAGCAGCATGCATCAGTTTATGTCTGTTACAGAAGCAGATTGGAATGCTGTTCCAAAACTACACAAACTACACAAAATATTTTAACTATTTCTCCACATCTTCTCAAAAACATAATTATAGACACCTTCCATATAATAAAAGTCAACAGGAATGTTATAGATATGTGAACTCAAGCTCTGAGGTTTCACTGCACAAGTTTCTACCTAGGGGAGTAATAACTTTTGCTGACATTCCTGGTGATGATTATAGTACTGTCTTGGGAATTGGAGGAACAGATTTGAAACCTCTCTCTTACAGGCCTCTTCTGCTTGAACATTCATCCTTTCTGTGTCACTTAGGCAGTGTAAGGTCATGCTGGTCATGCTGCACTGTGTGCAGTGACATAGTGCACCATTGTTTCAATGCTATAAATAGTGATGGTGGTGATGGTAGTTATAGCAATAATAATATCACAATGATATGTCAGGGATGTGGATGGTACTTTATGACATACAAGAAGACAGTCTCAACCGAGGCTTTCCAGTGCCTTTTATGAGAATGAATACTGAAATACAGCTATGAGTATGAATCTTGGGGATTCCAGGAGTACAATAGTAAACAATGGAAGAGATTACTAGTGTTGGTAAAACCTTATTTTTTAAGAGATATGTCTTGTGTAATGGTTTGTGTTGTGTATTTCTTGGGGATTTGGCAACAGGTGTGAGCAGTAGAGCCACCTATGGACATAGGTGGTTGGCTTAACTGCTTGACTCTGCTTTCTGAGACTTTTACTAGGTTCTTTACTTTTTGTTCTTCTCTGTCATTCACAAACTAGGATTTGTCTCTGTAAGAATTTATCTTTTTCTGGTTTTATGTGAAGGTTTGGAACAGTTTTGCTTTGTATTAAACTGAAGAAATACTGCTTTACTACCTCTGGAAAATGCTTCTGTGCTTTGCAGTTCTGCCTTTTGCTTTTATGCCAAAATAACTGTGGTTCTCTAAATGAGATTAAAAGGCTCAACGGAGAACTCATATTCTCTGGGGAAGGGCAGCTAATATTCCTTTAAAGCCTCTCAGTCCTGTGTTTCTGTACAGGTCCTTGCACAGCTTAGCAGTGTGGACCCCATTTACTACAGGTTTTCCCTGGAAAAGTTGTCTGGCAACTCCACAGCATCACTTGGTAGAGTGCTCCCAAATTTGGTCTGACTCTTCTTGCCAGAACTTGCTCAGGATACAGCTGTAAGGCTGTCTCATCTTCCTCAGAACAGACTTAATTGTTTTATCCATTACCTTGACCCAGTTTTTGTGAGCAATTAGGAGATTTGAAGCACTGCAGAGAGCTTTATTCTTGGTATTTACCCTTTGGACCCTTGTTAGGTCTGAATTGTGCTTGCTAGTTTTCATGTGTGTGGACACTTCACATGTGCCTCAACTGTGATAAGTCTAAGCTATCAAATACTTGTTTCTCTGCTTTCCTGCAAAGTCCTGTGATCTTCCACCCTATATGTGTATTAATTCACTCCTGGGATATCTTTCAGAGTAAACCATCTAGTTGCCTCCAGGATTGAATTTAGGTGCAATTCTGGAACTAGGTGCTCCAGAGACTTCTGTAATTATGTAGTCTGGATGAAGATCTTACTCAGTCTCAAACTATTTACTATATACTGTCTTGTAAGACTCAGCAAGGATTGTACCTTCAGGTAATCCACCCACAGTCACAGCATGTTCCACTGCTTTGTGTTGCACTAACTGTAAGGCAGTAACATGCCATTGCTTAATTCAGCCACTTCTGATATAAAACACACCAAACATGATCATGATGTCCTAGGGACATGCCAGCCATGGAGACCAAGCCTGACCTGAGCTAACTGCAGGGCAGTGCAGAGCAGTGAGAACCTGAGCTGTTCTGCCCTGCTCAGGGGCAGGATGGGTGCCTATAGCAGTACAGGTAGAGCTGACAGGACCAGACTGGGGCAGTGGTCTACAAGCTGTGGTGCATAGACTGTGGGCAATGCAATGTTTTTCCTGGAAGCTGCTGCCTTTGGCAGTGGTGATACACAAGTAAAGTAAGTTTGGGAAGCCACACAGGCTGAACACAGCCATCTTTTGTTTCCTTTTTGCTCCACTGTTGTTGCTATTCTACAGTCTCAAACAAGACAGGTTATATGCTTACTTATACCCTACCAGTTTTGTCAGGGTCATCATAAATTAAGATAAATGAAGTACCCATTTTCCAAAGTAGCAGAAAGTTTGAACGACCTAGATAATGAAATAACCTAGGAAATACAGGGTCCACTGGGAGTGCTTGTACACATTTGTAAGGCTCTGCACAGATTAGAGCCATGAGTTTATTAATTCAGATTAGCATCTGGATTTAGGCTCAAACACTGACAAGGCTTCATAGTTGAGGCAGAGTTGGACATGAGGTGAGTGCATGACTCCTCACAGAACCCAGAGCTTAGGAGAGCAGAGGGTCCCACCAGGCTGTGCAGAAGCCTTAGCAGCACAGAAAGCTGAGCAGGTGGCAAATGATTGCTAGCTGCAGTGTAGCAGCTACCAGGAGAACAGCAAGAGAGGCTTCTAGTTCTTTTTCTCTTGCCACATAATATGTGCATAACTTCACCTGACCAGTAAATTAAAACAATGTCTCCACCAAGTGAAAAGTGCTAAATAAAAGGAAATTTCTTAAAGTGAAAAAAAAATCTAATTATAATGATAGAAATTGGAAAAAAAAAGAGAGAGAAAAAAGAAACCTGTTTATCTGTATTGTACATTTTAAATAACAGTAATTGTAATAGGTAGAGGGTGAAAATGGTATTTTTACATATATAACTCATAACTGTGATATTCCTGATGTCCTTATAAATTATTTACCTTCAGATAAATCCTTGTAAAATCCAGGTGTCCAGATGATTTCCAAACACAGTTAGCCTGCAGTTCCTTTTGTCATTCTTTCAAAGCAGATGTGCATCCAGCAAATTTCCAAGTTCTTTGGAAATCTACTGCCACCTATAAGGTGGAGGAAGCAGAAGAAAGGGTGATAATACCACTGGGAAACACAGCATGGAATATGGAAAACTAGAGATGGGGGATTTTTTTTTTGTAAAGAGAGAGTAAACTGCCTACAGGTGTCACCCAGACTGCTACTAATTATGATTTTGGTTGTTGGTGTTGATGGGGTTTTCTTCGGGGTTTTTGGTCTTTTTTTTTTTTCTAACAATATGTATTTATTACCCATGGAATGGCTGTAGAAGATAGTCTTCAGTGATGAGATCTGGTGAAATGCTGAGTATTTTCTTGTGCTGTTGGTATTCCTTTGGTACTCTGCAGTTCCAGTCTGTTTCCTGGAGTCTAGAGACTTTCCTCATCATGGTTTATTTTTCCTGTCTGATAAAAATGTTAGGAATTATTTTGGGCAAGAAAGTTATATGCAGTATGTCAGTACATGCCATAGTGATGTGAAACAAATTGAACATTATCAGCTAAAGTAGATGGTATTTTTTAATACTTTCAAATCACATTCTGTTTCCAATTGCATTCATCCATCCCAGGCCAGGAGGAGCCTGAGAAATCTGATCTAGCATATTTGTGTAAAAAGTCACCTGATTGCAGGCATGTCTTTAGGAACACTGCACAACAAGCTGGTCCTGTTTTTCCATCACAGCTGCTGGAACTATTTGTACTGAACCTGATGGCATAACTCATAGATTAATGGATTTGTCTATTTGAGCATTACAGAGCAGTAAAGTCTGACACATGTTTGCCTAGACTGATATTTTGAAACAAGTACTGCAACTTCTGGAGTTAATTATGGTTTAAGCTATACAGTTCTTGATACTTGTGTTGTTTGCTGAGAACCCTTCCTTCTCAGGGTGCTGGTGCTGGCAGATCCCATTCCTGCAGTGTGTGTTCACTTGGTGTTTAGGCTTAGGAAGGGCCTCAAGAGCTCAGCTTCTCATTGCAAATTAGGACATGAGATTCACTAAGCACTTGTTCATACTGCTCAAGTCAGTGGCTGACTACACTTACTACTGTTAATCCTGTAGTAGCCTAAGGATTTTGGGATGTGGCTTTTGGAAAAGTATTGGTTCTACTTCAAAACCTTTGCTCAGCTGCACAACTTAAATTAATGATTGCAGTTACAGAGCAATTGGCTGGGCTTGGTATAACTCAAATCAATTAAAATAATTAGCATCAAACAGCTGGTTGTTTCTGTGACCACTTTCTGCCTTTGCTCTCAAGAGATTCCAGGCTGCTTTCCTTCCTTCAGTCCATGAAACTGAAAGGAGGAAATCATCAGAACCACGTTTATAGAAGGAAATGGTCCCCAGGGGCTACTGTCCAAGCCTGAAAGATGAGGACTGTAGTTTGACCTGTCTTTGACATATCTGAGGATAATTCCAGCTGTTCTTGGGAAGTATCTGGGAAACCCATGGGCTGGAAAATGAAAGTTGAATGCCAGGAAAGGGGAAGGGTTATGCTTCATAAAATCTGCACCTTCAGTGCTCCCTGATATAAGAAACCGCAGGTCCATAAGGAAAATATTTGGTTTTCTTGCATATCCACTCAAAATATTTTTTCACTGTTAGGGTGTCCAGGCACTGGAATAGGTTTGCCCAGGTGGAGTCACCATCCCTTGAAGTATTTAAGAGGTGTCTGGATCTGGTGCTGGAAGATATGGGTTAGGGGTTACAGCAGTGACTCGTTAATGGTTGGACTTGATGATCTTAGAGGTCTCCTCTAGTCTTGATGATTCTATGATTAGTATTTTATTTTGTCAGCACAGAGCTTTAAGGAATTCTGCTTCCATTTTATTTTTTCCATAGCAAATCTCCAAAGAACCTCATAACCAGCCTGTGTTACAAAAATACTGATGTTGTTTTCTTTAAGGGGATAATGAGAGTGCTTTCATTTGTGCCATTTGCATCCAACCCTTTGGCACTTGGAAGTTTTCAGGAGCATGCATATGCATTATTAATTCTGGCAAGGTTTGCAGTTGTCTTGAGGGAAAAGAATAGCTGCTAAAACCCAGGAATGCACAAAGTGTTGTTATGTATCTTATAAGATACTACTTTATTTGCTTCTTCAGATATTGGTAATAAATGCATTAAAGAGAGCACAAATAAACAGTTAATGCAGTAATGCATAATGTTTCAGTAAGTATTTTACCAAGCTACAGCAATCTCTTGTGATCTGATTTAGCACCTGGAGCAGCAGTAGCTGGCACGGCCGCGTTAAAGGAGGCATGAAGGGCTTTCAGAACTTCATGGTGTCTGACAGTAACATGACTTTTGTGGAGTTTGTAGAGCTCTTCAAATCTTTCAGGTAAAATATATTGTTATTCTGCACGAATTTCATTCATTCAAGTTTATAAAAGAGCAAAATCTGAACTTTTCCCTTCTTTTTGCAGTGTCCGTAGCCGCAAGGATCTGAAAGACCTGTTCGATGTCTATGCTGTGCCTTGCAATCGATCTGGCTTAGAGCCTGCTCCACTTTATACTAATCTGAAGATTGATGAAAATAGCAGTGGATTCCAGCCTGATTTAGGTTGGTTGAAGGGGAAAATACAGTCTCAGAAAGAACTATCAGCTCTCAGTTTAAGTGGAGGATTGCTGCCATGCCTGCAGTAATGCCTAGTTAGCAGGATGTAAGACAGAAATGAAGGGTTCCAGCTTTCCATTAGCCAGATGTATTTGTAACTGATAATAGCAGAGGCATAAAACTTGTTGCTGAGTGGCTGGGCACAAGGATCTGTACAGGCTGCAGGAGCTCTGGTAGGGCTAAAACACTGAGCAAATACAGGAAGGAGAAATGAAGAGGCTGTGCCCTGTGTCTCATTTGGCTGGTTTTTCTCTTATCTGGTTTCCTAGTGGATCTGCTTTATGTGGGATAAGGGGGAAGGAAGCCTCTGTGCCCCTTTACATTCCCTAGTTAGCACAATCTAAGCCTGGAACTTTGGCTACATTTAAAGAAAACAGTCTTTCTGCCAAGCAGCTCGTGGGGAGGGTGCAGAACAATTGGCATAGGGGCCTGGAAGAAGATGAATGGTGATTGAACAGGAAGGCTATGGGGTTGCTCACAGTGAAGGAAAGGCTTTGAGGCTGTATGTGGTGGTGAGAGGAAGCAGGAGACCCCTGGGTGACAGTGTGTGAGAGGTTGTGGATCCATATGAAGGGTTCCAGGACTTTGTTCATAATAATTGAACACTTGTTATCTGTCCCCACACATGCTTAATACTCTTTCTTCTATTATGAAAAGAAACAAGATGGGTTTGTTCTAATGTACTATGTCATTGCTAAAATATTCAGTCAGATACTCATGTGTATTGTATATTACATCATATATAATACACATAATTATATAGCTTATATTTATATTTCTTTATTTTCCTTTTAAGATTTGTTGACTAGAAATGTTTCAGACCTTGGTTTGTTCATTAAGAGCAGGCAGCAGCTCTCAGACAACCAGAGGCAAATATCTGATGCCATTGCTGCTGCCAGCATTGTAACCAATGGTACTGGAGTTGAAAGCACATCTCTGGGAATATTTGGAGTGGGAATCCAGCAGCTAAATGACTTCCTAGTGAATTGCCAAGGAGAACACTGCACCTATGATGAAATCCTCAGTATTATACAGGTCTGTAATACAAATATCTTGCAATTCCTTTTTTCACTTGAACTCCTGAGACTTCCATTTTTCTCACTAGCATTGTCTGCCAGTCAGAATAGCACCTGTGTGGATATCTCCTTTCCCACTGATATTGTCTCTACAGTTTACTTGATTTTAAAATTTAATACTATCTTTATTCTGGGCTAGAAAATTGTATGGATGTCCATAAATATATCTATAAAAAGAAAAGAAAATTCATGCCAATAAACAGTTTTATTTGCTATGTGCTCATTAGCAGGGATGGGATGTCACCATTTGGGTAAAGTGTTTGTGACAGTTCATTGTTTTCTTTTTGTTTTCTGACCACCTTTAATTGAGCTTAACCCTAATTTGGAACTTTAAAAAGCACCATTTCCACGTATATTTATTTTATAAAAAAATTTCCAGAGCAAACATGGACGTTTTATTCCCTTATGTACAATGGCTGAAGTGATTAGAAAGTATGCAGAAAATGTTTAATTCCTCCAAACATGCATAATTAATATGCTTCAAAATTAAGCCCCCACTTAGCAGTTAACAAAGGCTAAGAACTGTGTATTTCAACTATGAACATGTAATATAAAATTACAAGGCTTAAAACACAGAAATTCTAAAGAAACATGAAGTTAGAATACCACAAATCTCTTTCATTTGAGATGGTGTTATGCTGTGTTTAAGCACATAATACATAGGAGTAGAACACCTGATCAGAGGTCCTTCTAAATTTCAGCTTAAGTGCTGACTCAGCTTTGAACAGGATGTTGGATTAAATGACCTCCCAACATCCTTTCCTACATGAATGATTCTATGATTTACAGTTACAAGTCTGGTATGCTTATTTAGTGATTTATAAAACACAATTGGCAGGTGCTTAATTACTTTATCCACAAAGCCTGGTTTTACATTCTAACTGCTTAATGCTGTGAGCAGACTACACTGTAAAAACATGAACAAGATCTGTTTCTAAGAATTGTTATTATATATCTCTTAAATTTCTCCCTCTTTATAGAAGTTTGAACCCAGTGTGAATATGTGCCAGCAGGGGCTGCTATCTTTTGAAGGATTTGCAAGGTAATTACTTATGTGTTATTA